GTGTGATAAGAACAGCACAGACCCCTGGGAGCAGAGGTTCACACCCACCTTCTGTCATGCTAGTTGTGTGTCCCTGGGCAAGAAGCTGACAGGTGTAATGAGAACAGCACAGACCCCTGGGAGCAGAGATTCACACCCACCTTCTGTCATGCTAGTTGTGTGTCCCTGGGCAAAAGGCTGACAGGTGTAATGAGAACAGCACAGACCCTGGGAGCAGAGATTCACACCCACCTTCTGTCATGCTAGCTGTGTGCTTGGACAAGAGGCTGACGGGTGTAATGAGAACAGCACAGACCCCTGGGAGCAGAGGTTCACATCCACCTTCTGTCATGCTAGCTGTGTGTCCCTGGGCAAGAGGCTGACAGGTGTGATAAGAACAGCACAGATCCCTGGGAGCAGAGGTTCACACCCACCTTCTGTCATGCTAGTTGTGTGTCCCTGGGCAAGAAGCTGACAGGTGTAATGAGAACAGCACAGACCCCTGGGAGCAGAGGTTCACACCCACCTTCTGTCATGCTAGTTGTGTGTCCCTGGGCAAGAAGCTGACAGGTGTAATGAGAACAGCACAGACCCCTGGGAGCAGAGGTTCACACCCACCTTCTGTCATGCTAGTTGTGTGTCCCTGGGCAAGAAGCTGACAGGTGTAATGAGAACAGCACAGACCCCTGGGAGCAGAAGGTTCACACCCACCTTCTGTCATGCTAGCTGTGTCCTTGGACAAGAGGCTGACAGGTGTGATAAGAACAGCACAGACCCCTAGGAGCAGAGGTTCACACCCACCTTCTGTCATGCTAGCTGTGTGCTTGGACAAGAGGCTGACAGATGTGATAAGAACAGCACAGACCCCTGGGAGCAGAGGTTCACACCCACCTTCTGTCATGCTAGTTGTGTGTCCCTGGGCAAGAAGCTGACAGGTGTAATGAGAACAGCACAGACCCCTGGGAGCAGAGGTTCACACCCACCTTCTGTCATGCTAGTTGTGTGTCCCTGGGCAAGAGGTTGACAGGTGTAATGAGAACAGCACAGACCCCTGGGAGCAGAGATTCACACCCACCTTCTGTCATGCTAGTTGTGTGTCCCTGGGCAAGAGGTTGACGGGTGTAATGAGAACAGCACAGACCCCTGGGAGTAGAGGTTCACACCCACTTTCTGTCATGCTAGCTGTGTGTCCCTGGGCAAGAGGTTGACGGGTGTAATGAGAACAGCACAGACACTGGGAGCAGATGGTTCACACCCACCTTCTGTCATGCTAGTTGTGTGTCCCTGGGCAAGAAGCTGACAGGTGCAATGAGAACAGCACAGACCCCTGGGAGCAGAGGTTCACACCCACCTTCTGTCATGCTAGCTGTGTCCTTGGACAAGAGGCTGACAGATGTGATAAGAACAGCACAGACCCCTGGGAGCAGAGGTTCACACCCACCTTCTGTCATGCTAGTTGTGTGTCCCTGGGCAAGAGGCTGACAGATGTGATAAGAACAGCACAGACCCCTGGGAGCAGAGGTTCACACCCACCTTCTGTCATGCTAGCTGTGTCCTTGGACAAGAGGCTGACAGGTGTGATAAGAACAGCACAGATTTTACAAGCAGAAGGTTCACACCTGCAAGGCAGTGAGGCTTTGTAAAAAGGCATGGACTCTGGAACGAGACACAGGGTTAAACTCTCAGCTCCCCAGAGAGAAAGCACAGTTGTTTGTACTTACGACTGCACGCACCCTTCCTCTGGCCCTTCAGTCTTCCCAGGTGTCCCAAGAGTCGCCATCATCACTTCTTAGTCTGAAGAATACTGTGCAGCCGTTCCTTCAGTGTGAACCTGCTGGTAACAAAACCCCTTTGCTTGTTTTTATCTGAGGCTCTTTATTGTTTCTACCTCATTGCTAAAAGATACTTTCCTGGATATAAAAATCTGGGTGGACAGCTCTTTTCTTTCAGCACTTGATAAACGTGCCACTTCCTTCTGGCCTGCACAACTTCTAGTGAGAAGTCTGCTGTCCCTATGGGCAGGTGGTGATGTGCTCTTTTCTTCTCTGGCCATTGGTAAGATTTTTTCCTTTCATTTCTGGCTTTTAAACTTTGGCTATTGTGCATTTGAACACGAATTTCTTGAGTTTTATCCTAATTGGGAGAGGACACTTGCTTTCTTAAATCTATAGATTCATGTCTTCCATCAAGCTTAGGAAGCATTTTCTCATTTTTTTTTTTCTTTCCAGTTTTTTCCATCCTGCATTCTTTTTTTCCCTTTCTGGTTGCTGATGGGATGGTATGTAGAGCTTTTGTCGAGCCCCTTAGGACTCTGGGGCACATTGGTTTCGTTCCCAGTGTATTTTACTTCTGCTGTTTGTTTCGGATTATGCCCACTGATGCACCTTAAGTTGGCTGATCCCGCCCTTGCTGATGTTCGTTTTTCTACTGCGCCTGTGCACTCAAGTGTCCTTGTTGTTCTTGTGTGTGGGTGTGTGTTACTTTTGATGATGGTATTTTTCAATTCTAAAATTTCCATTTGGTACACAGCTACATATTATTTTCTTTGTTCTGAGATGTTTATTTATGTTTGCTTCTAGAGTGTTCTCAACTGCTCATTGCAGCATTTTTAAGATGGCTACTTTAAAATTCTTGTCTTGTTCCTATTAAAATCTTCTATGTAAGACTCTGTTTCTAGTTGGGCACATGTCAGCTAGTTCAGATGCACATCCTGGCTCAGTTTTGTTGTCAGGGGTTCGAGGCCCATGTCACCCGGTTCAGGTCCTGATGCACATCCTGGCTCAGTTTTGCTCACAGTGGTTTGATGCCAATGTCGGTGGACCCTCTGCAGTGCTATCTTGGTCCCTGCTGCTGTCTTCTCTGTCCCCAGTGTCCCTTCCTGGGTGGGAAGGGGGAGACCCCTGCCTGTGCCTGCTGAGCAGAGCCAGGAGGCAGCTTCTGCACTGACCCTCCTTAGAACATTGCCTTCTCATTGCCCCGAGGGGCAGTGGGGACTCAGGGTTCTTCCCTCAAATTGGGGGCAGGGGGGAGTCAGGGCTCTCCCCTCGAGGTGGGGGCAGGGGGGAGTCAGGGCTCTCCCCTCGAGGTGGGGGCAGGGGTGACTCAGGGTTCTCCCCTCTAGGTAGGGGCAAGGGGGAGTCAGGGAAGGTGCAGTTATCATCGCCCCGAGGGGCAGGAGGGAGTCAGGGCTCTCCTGTTGAGGTGGAGACAGGAGTAATCATCATTCCAAGGGGCAGGGGGAGTCAGGCTTCAACTCTCCAGGTGGGTGCAGGTGCAGTTACCACATACCACTCTGTTGGGCTTCACTGCTTCAGAGCCCCTGCTGGAGGGGCTGCCTTTGTGGGGCTCCTGTGTATGTGCACCCAAGGGTGCTTCTGGGCTCCTGCCACACCCAGGCTGGCATGTGAGGGAGTCTGGAAACCCCAAGAACTCACTGCTGGGTCATCTTTGGGGCTCCAGAGTCCCTAGTCTGCCTGCCTTTTCTTCCGTGTCAGAGCCCTCTGGAATGGGGCTTAGGATTTTGCATGGGGTTTGTGCTGTGAGTAGCTAGAGGAGTGAGTCAGATGAAATACATTACACCTCGTTCAGAATACGAGCCTCTGCCCTTCCATTCTCTCCTGGGGCGACCTTCAGGAGGTGACATGACTTCTTTGCTGCTGCAGAGACCGGCCTGTGAGGGTGGGATGGGAGGCACTCCCTGGGGGTTCTGGTCAGAACCAGGCAGGATAGTGTGTGTGTGTGAACCGATGGCTGCCAGCGGCGCCACTGTCTTCTTTCCGTATTTCCCTCACATCCGAGTCTCATGCTCCTCCACACGGTTGCTCTGATAATAGCAGGATTTCCTTTTCCCTTGGAACACGACTGCTTCTGTTCTTAGACTGATCCGAATTATGAGGAAAGTCACATTATTTGCAATTAATTTGTGTCTCATCTCCTAATCTACATAGACAATATTTAATATGTAGAATTTTAACTTTGGACAGTTAATGTGGTCAACATTCTGTTTGATGGGGGGAAACTGAAGTCACTTGATGGGGTGGATCACATGAGGTCAGGAGTTCCTTTCCAGGGAAGGAAAGTGGCCTGCCCAGTTCACGGGTTGATGGCACCATGAATGTGGCAGATGTGGTCTGAGATGTGCCTTCGTGTCTCGTCTCTGCCCACGAGGGCCCAGCCTCCCGAGGTGCGTGAACCTCCTGGCTCTCCTGGGTTTGCTTGAGATCCCCCAAGCAGCAGGTGCCCCGGCATGTCAGGTGGTTTTCTGACCCAACAGAAACCCTGCAGTGCATGATGGGCTGTGGGGGTCCCACGAGGAGGGCCTGGGGTCCCAATACGCAGCTGGGAGCTCGTTTCCCCATGGGCAGCAGCCCACAAGTAAACTTCCGGAGTGGAATGTAATTGTATAAAAGGGAGAGAAAATTCCATCCACTCACTAAGCAGGGTCTGAAGCCCACTCGCCAGGGCTCTGGCAAGCACCCCCTGTCCAGGACGTTTCTGACCCAGAGGACCTGCCTGTGGAACAGAAGCGCACACTCAGGTGGGTGGGAGACTGCAGGAGGACACCGGGGTAAACCTACTTGCATCAGTCAGGGACATGTGCTTGTGTGGAACTCAAGAGGCCCCACTGAAGATGCACAGGTGCCGTGGGTTCCACCTGGAGCTGAGCCTGCCCTGGGACCCACCACGTTCTCCACCGTTCACAGCCCAAGGGGAAGCCAGCATCTCCCAACAGAGAAGGCAGACTTTGGGCCATTCTCGGATTCTCTCCCAGGAAAAAGAGAAGCTTTGTTTTTCAATCTTTATGTATTCACTTCTCATTCATTGCCTCTCTCTGCCACCTACAAAAGGTTTCCAAGTTCCCTGGGGCTCTTGTCACAGAATGCAAAAGTATTTCACCTTTAAAAAATGAAGACAGAGGCCGGGCGCGGTGGCTCAAGCCTGTAATCCCAGCACTTTGGGAGGCCGAGGCGGGTGGATCGCGAGGTCAGGAGATCGAAACCATCCTGGTCAACATGGTGAAACCCCGTCTCTACTAAAAATACAAAAAATTAGCTGGGCATGGTGGCGCGTGCCTGTAATCCCAGCTACTCGGGAGGCTGAGGCAGGAGAATTGCCTGAACCCAGGAGGCGGAGGTTGCGGTGAGCCGAGATCGCGCCATTGCACTCCAGCCTGGGTAACAAGAGCGAAACTCCGTCTCAGAAAAAAAAAAAAAAAATTAGTGGAAAACAAACACCAAAATGGAGTTATTCAAACCTCAACACACAGGAGTCTGCGCCTGATGAACGTACAGAATGACAACGCAGAGGAAGCCAGGGACTTCGAATATGAGAAATAGAAAAATGACTTACTTAAGCCTCTCTGAAACTCCAAAATATCAACTGTACAAGGAAAAAGATTTTATGGAGGTGATTTTCAGACATTTAATAGCTGTGTATAGATTTTGTATGAAGAATCACTTTGACTCCCAGGGCTCACATTTTCAGTAACATGCGCTAACATTTTCCAGTCGCGGCTGCTAATGAAAGTCAGGCTGCCTTTATGAATGTAAATTATAACACTGACTTATTGATACATAGCAGCTAATTTCCAAGACATTGTCTGTAAACACCATAAAGTTGCATTAAATATTCATACAATCATTGTGATCATTAATCCATAGAGCAATTATAATTGAAATGCTCTTATAAATAACCAAATAAAATAGCACTTTACAAGATAGATATCACACCAACTTTTATAGCTAACAAAAATGAGATTGCTCTCACCTCCATTAGCCCAAGCAGGAGAGAGTGAAAGGAGCCACCTCTGTTACATTCACTGGCACCAAGAATGTGAGGGGTGCCTCTCTAGGAGATGGTTTCAGAAGATAAAGGGAGATCAGTGTCTCTGAGGTACCCATCAGTAGGCAGGTGCTGCACATTTAGTTTCTGAGGCTTTTGCTTTTGTCTCTATGTTTGGGTTGTTAGAATCCAGTTAAGAACGCCAGGCCAATAATGGACCCCCAGGGTGGGCAGCAGAGTCAGGACTCTGCTGCGACATCGCCAAGGCCCGTCAAGGAGTGGGGGCTGTTGAGCCCAGCTCACTCTTGTGTGGCCGAGAGCCTGGGCCAAGGCTGTGCACATGGGTCTGGGGGCTGAAGGGACTTTGGTGGCCTCAATCTTGACCTAGCAGAACAGCCGCTGGGAAACAAGATCAGGAAGGAGGCACCAGGCAGAGGATGAAGTGCGCATCCAGACAGGGCTTCCAGGGTAGCTACTGAGGCCAGACCTGGCCAGGATGCAGGCTCCTGACCCCCTGAGCCCAGGAGAGGGTGGCTGAAGACCTGGGTGTGGAGACTGAGGTCTCTCCTCCTCCTTCCCCTCATTACCCAACTCACCAACTGATGGAAAACTCGTTGCAGAGTGTAAGACACTTGCTTGGCCTGTTATACAGAGCTAGGGGATCCAGGGTCCAATGCAGTGCCTGATCCCAATCCCTGCTCCCTCAGGCCACCCTGGACCTGCTTAGAAGGATACTATGGATGATCATCACAGCACACAGGTGTCCTTTAGAAGCTGGGTTTTGGGGGGTGTGTTATTTACAATGCTGGCCAAGACAGCATCTGAGATGCATGGGCCTCCAATCCATCTCAGGATCACCCTGAGAATATGCTCTGTGAGGTCTGGGAGACTCTGGGATCTTGCAGGAGTGGAAACCAATTGCCAAAGCTACCTCCTGCAGAACCGGCCACCCTGCTGGGACCTCCCTCCTCCCTCATTCTCTCATCCAAGTCTGCAGCCTGTGCGTCTGTCTCATGGTGGTCTGGGTTGTCTCGGGGATCTTGGCAGCAAGGGGTCTCGGAAGGGTAGAGTTGAGTCCCCTGGCAAACTCCGCAGAAGCCATAGGCGGCTAATGTTAAGGAAGCCAGTTGTCCATGTCCACCACAGTGGCCAGGCCTGCACCCCACATATAGCAGGGGGGCATCTCACATGGGCCTGGCCTCATGCTCAGCAGCTTCCAGCCTCTCCAGCCTGATTCCACCCAGGCTCTGCCCTCACGCCTCGTTTCTGAACTTGGGCACCCTCATTTTACCCCTCCCTGCCCACGAGGACTCTCCATTCTTCCTCATTGCCAGCAGAAGGGACCTCTTCAATGTGCTGCTGTATCTCTCCTTTGCCTGGAAGGGCCTCCTAACTGTCCGTCTGATCCTCCAACACACAGCTCAGACGCTTCTCTTCTGACCAGCCTTTTCCAACGTGACTTCTCTAGGAAAGACGCACCAATTACTTGTTGGTTCCTAAGCATCATGGTTTATTACACAATCAGGTCATATATTAAAATACTAATAATAAATTTGTATATTACCCCTCCGTTGATAGGACGAAAGATTTTTTAGAAATTCTATACTGTGTATGTGATTTGAATTAATTTGGTAGCACCGATGACTGAATTCAGCCCTGACTACTCTAGGGTGGAATTAGTATTTCAATTCATTCTTCCTTTTTATTAGATATAAGGTACACAACATGATGCTTTGATATACACATATGTATTAAACTGATGACTGCAGGTAAACAAGCTAATATTTTCATCACTCTTTATAGTTACTTCTTTTTATGGTAAGCGCAATAAAACCCACTTCCTTAGCAAATTTTTCCCATATGTGACACTTTGTTAACCTGGTTCTGCTGCCATACCCTGGGGCTCACTGCAGCCTTCCACCTTCAGCCACATCCTGGTCTCCAGGGCCTCTGGTCATCTGGCTCTGCCACCTTCAGCCACGCCCTGGTCTCCAGGGCCTCTGGTCATCTGGCTCTGCCACCTTCAGCCACGCCCTGGTCTCCAGAGCCTCTGGTCATCTGGCTCTGCCACCTTCAGCCACGCCCTGGTCTCCAGAGCCTCTGGTCATCTGGCTCTGCCACCTTCAGCCACACCCTGGTCTCCAGGGCCTCTGGTCATCTGGCTCTGCCACCTTCAGCCACGTCCTGGTCTCCAGGGCCTCTGGTCATCTGGTTCTGCCACTTTCAGCCATGCCCTGGTCTCCAGAGCCTCTGGTCATCTGGCTCTGCCACCTTCAGCCACGTCCTGGTCTCCAGGGCCTCTGGTCATCTGGTTCTGCCACTTTCAGCCACGCCCTAGTCTCCAGAGCCTCTGGTCATCTGGTTCTGCCACTTTCAGCCACGCCCTGGTCTCCAGAGCCTCTGGCCATCTGGCTCTGCCACCTTCAGCCACGCCCTGGTCTCCAGAGCCTCTGGTCATCTGGCTCTGCCACCTTCAGCCACGTCCTGGTCTCCAGGGCCTCTGGTCATCTGGTTCTGCCACTTTCAGCCACGTCCTGGTCTCCAGGGCCTCTGGTCATCTGGTTCTGCCACTTTCAGCCACGCCCTGGTCTCCAGAGCCTCTGGCCATCTGGCTATGCCACCTTCAGCCACGCCCTGGTCTCCAGAGCCTCTGGTCATCTGGCTCTGCCACCTTCAGCCACGTCCTGGTCTCCAGGGCCTCTGGTCATCTGGTTCTGCCACTTTCAGCCACGCCCTGGTCTCCAGAGCCTCTGGTCATCTGGCTCTGCCACCTTCAGCCACGTCCTGGTCTCCAGGGCCTCTGGTCATCTGGTTCTGCCACCTTCAGCCACGCCCTGGTCTCCAGAGCCTCTGGTCATCTGGCTCTGCCACCTTCAGCCACATCCTGGTCTCCAGGGCCTCTGGTCATCTGGTTCTGCCACCTTCAGCCACGCCCTGGTCTCCAGAGCCTCTGGTCATCTGGCTCTGCCACCTTCAGCCACGCCCTGGTCTCCAGAGCCTCTGGTCATCTGGCTCTGCCACCTTCAGCCATGTCCTGGTCTCCAGAGCCTCTGGTCATCTGGCTCTGCCACCTTCAGCCACGTCCTGGTCTCCAGAGCCTCTGGTCATCTGGCTCTGGGAGCATTTGGTGCCACCCATTTCTTCACTGATTCCTGGAAATTATCGGCTATGTGTTGAGTACTTCCGCTGCTAGACTTTGGTAGATGCACAAACCCTTTCTTTTTGTTCTTTCCCTAAATAATATTCAGGCAAGAAGAAACACAAACAAACCTCTGTAAGGAAACATTACTTTATGACGGGAGTTGAAACATGGTTCGCAGTATGCACCGAAAGCAGCAGAAAGGCCTACCTGGGTGTCATGGGCAGGGTTCATGAGCTTCGCTGACAGGAAGGATCTTTGCATCTGTGTGATTAACACAGAGGCAGGGACGGCGGCTGCTGCACGGAGTGCTTAGGAGGCTCCAGCACAGCGTGAACCTCCTGGGCATGCACAGTGCCCCCCCAGGAACCTTCCGCAGCCCTCCCAGTGAGGGAAGCGAGGCTCTGTGACAGGCATTACCACTCAGCAGCTACTCAGTGACCCAGAGCTGGGCTTTATAAACTAAGGGGAAGGCACAGGGCAACATGCGCATTGTGGAGTCTGTGTCAGTGTGTTTGACACCTGGTCCCGCCATATTACTGTGACATCACTGCATGCCAATGGCCTCACCTGCACTCGTCAGGAGCCTGGCATTTAAATGGGAGTCACCATGGATGGGAGGTGAAGAGTGGACTTTTACAAGGGGTGCAGGTACAGCGACACGTGGCAAACACGGGCCTCTGCTGTGGGTGGAATGACAGGTCCACTCGGCTACTACCTGAGCTCGGGGAGGAGGGGCTGGGCACCCCAGCCGTGCCCCTTCCTGCATTTAGGACGAGCCCCCGCGCTGAAGGCCAGCCGGATCCGGTGAGCCACAGGCCTTGTAAGGTCGGTTGCCTTGCCGGGAGTCAAACAGACACATTTATCCGTCTCAGCACCTGATAACTGCGTCATCGCCCCAGCTCATTACCTGGCTTCCCCACATGGCTCCCCCGCACCCTCCTCTGCATACCATGCCCAAGCTCGCACTCAGCATTAAATTATGCATCCAACCTCCAGCCCGCTGTTAAAAAAACCCCATAGAAAATTTTTTTAAAGAGGCCCCACCCTACCCTGCCCAGCAACAGCCTGCCCCTTACACCCCCACCCAGGCCCGCTTACCCAAAGTCCCACCCACCTACCAATCGCAACTAGTTTCATGTGCTTCCTACTTTAACTCCATGTACTTCCTGCTCCTCAACAGCCAATAGAAATGCCTTCTCTGTTTCCCCAGTAGTCAATCAAGGCCCACCTACCCAAAGTCCCACCCACCGACCAATGGCAACTAGTTTCATGTACTTCCTACTTTAATTCCATGTACTTCCTGCTCCTCAACAGCCAATAGAAATGCCTTCTTTGTTTCCCCAGTAGTCAATCAAGGCCCACCTACCCAAAGTCCCACCCACTGACCAATGGCAACTAGTTTCATGTACTACCTACTTTAATTCCATGTACTTCCTGCTCCTCAACAGCCAATAGAAATGCCTTCTCTTTGTTTCCCAGTAACCAATCAACTGCCTGCACTTCCCATAAAATCCCACGCCCTGAACAGCCAGGCAGGACTTCTCTGGCCCTGTGTTAGACCATAGAAGGTTGCCCGGGAGCTGAATAAATTAGCCTTTCACTTTTTTATACTTGCCTCAGTTTCCTCATTTTACTTCGGCAATAAATCTTACAGGTCCGCCCTCAGATATTCCACAGTCAAAAGTGAGAAACGCGCCCAGCATCTCCCAGAGGCCATTTGGGAAAGGCTGGGTCAGCCGAGCCGCAAGTCAGGGCAGCAGGGCTGGGCCCACGTGGGTGCTGCAGGTGGCAGGCATGGCGGTGTGGGGTGCAGTGGCCGAGTACAGGTGACCCGGGGGGCTCCTGGGCATCTCCATGGCTCCTCCCGGGTGAAACGTCCCACCTTGGTGGGCGCTCCTCCGGTTTTCAGAAGAAGCCTAAAAACCTGTAAACCACAGGGATTCCAGTGAGTTGCCACATGTGACGGTCAACGCAGACGTTTTGAAAATCACATGCAGCTCTGTGGGGAACACGGGGTCATCCGTGCACTGGCTGTGGGCTTTTCTAGACAGTCAATTTCCAGGCCCCGCCACCACCCAGCTTGACTTCGTCCTGTGTATTTAGCCCCGGCCGGGCTCATCAGGCTGCCAAGACGCTGCAGGGAGGAGCTGCGGGCCGGGCGGGAAGGTGGCCGGATGCGGGTCGGGCGGGAAGGTGGCCGGATGTGGGTCAGGCGGCGGCCGGATGTGGGTCAGTTGGTACTGCGGCTGCGGGATGGATGCGGGTCAGGAGAGAAGGCGGCAGCTGGATGAGGGTAGGGCTGGAAGGCGGCCCCCAGATGGATGCGGCTCGGGCAGGAGGGTGGCTGACATATGGATGCAGGTCTGGCAGGAAGGCGGTGGCCTGACGCGTGTAGGACGGGAAGGCGGCTGCTAACGTGCATTGTGAGCCCCGAGACCCGGAAGAGGCTCCTGGCCCGACGGCCTCGGTGCCCACAGGCTGCTGCGTTTTGACAGACAGCCCCAAAGGCGGCTGCGGCCAGGTGGATTCCCATGGTCAAGGTTAGTTATTAGCGTTACTAGCAACCTGAACCACTTCAAAAAAAATACTTGGTACTTGAGGAAAGAAATAAAGATGGCCACTTTAGAATGCATTTGGAAAAAACACTCATGTCCGCTTACAAAGAAATGCTTGTCAGCTATTTAACTGGTTACGAAGTGCCATCCGCAGATGCTGGCTTAGAGCCGTACTCATAACCATTTTCTGATTAAACTTTTTTTTTTTTTGAGATGGAGTTTCGCTGTTGTTACCCAGGCTGGAGTGCAATGGCGTGATCTCGGCTCACCGCAACCTCCACCTCCTGGATTCAGGCAATTCTCCTGCCTCAGCCTCCTGAGTAGCTGGGATTACAGGCACGCGTCACCATGCCCAGCTAATTTTTTTTGTGTGTCTTTAGTAGAGACGGGGTTTCACCATGTTGACCAGGATGGTCTCGATATCTTGACCTCGTGATCCACCCGCCTTGGCCTCCCAAAGTGCTGGGATTACAGGCTTGAGCCACCGCGCCCAGCCGCCTTTCATGTCTTTTGAGAATGGTAGTGAATGGCAGGTCAGTTTCTGAAAAACCTCGAGAGACTCCCGGTGTGAGGAGGGAAGTCCGTGTCTGTCTCCCTGTGGCTGGAGAGCTGGCGGGGCGGGAATGATCCCCTGTCTCGTTTTACTTCCTGAAATAGGACTGTAGAATGGAACAGAAATTAACGGGAAGCCTCAACTGTGACACATTTAATTGATGGAGGGAGGTAATAAGCTGCTCCATCACTGGGCCGCAAACTGCGACTTTTGGGTTCAAAATACCTCCGTCCAAAGGAGCGCGGCCCGACGCCCAGGATGGGGCCTGGGGCGGGTGGGAGGAATGCGTTTCCCAAGTGGAGGAGCCGGGCATCGTGGAAGAGGCACTTGGAAGGTGCCGGAAGTTCATGTCAGGGTAATTCCAAGGTGTCTGCTGAGTCTCTGTCCCTGAAGTATTTAATTACCCGTTTCTTAAAAAGCACATACTTAAACCTGTCTCTACCAAAAATACAAAAATTATCTGGGCACGGTAGTACGTGCCTGTAATTCCAGCCACTCGGGAGGCTGAGGCAGGAGAATTGCCTGAACCCAGGAGGCAGAGGTTGCGGTGAGCCGAGATCGTGCCATTGCACTCCAGCCTGGGTAACAAGAGCGAAACTCTGTCTCAAAAAAAAAAAAAAAAAAAAAAAAAAGGGAGGCCGAGGCGGGTGGATCACGAGGTCAACAGATCGAGACCATCCTGGTCAACATGGTGAAACCCCGTCTCTACTAAAAATTACAAAAAATTGGCTGGGCACGGTGGCGCGTGCCTGTGATCCCAGCTACTCAGGAGGCTGAGGCAGGAGAATTGCCTGAACCCAGGGGGCGGAGGTTGCAGTGAGCCGAGATTGCGCCATTGCACTCCTGCCTGGGTAACAAGAGCGAAACTCCGTCTCAAAAAAAAAAAAAAAAAGCACATGTTTTCAAAAACACCTATGAAAGGCTTTAAAGTTATTGGCAGTGCTCAGGGTCTGAGCCTTTTGGAAAAGCTACAGGGAGCAGCAGAGGCCCCCCCCCCCCCCAAGGCTCACGCAGCTGGCTTATGTGTGGAGGGTCAGAGCTGCTGAATCAAGGCTGGAGACCGCAGCGGCCCAGAGCTCCTTCCATCCTGGACCTCGTGGCGGGGCCTGCCTGTCTCGCCCACACCAAAGCCAAGGGGCGTTTGCTGCCGCATCGTCTCAGCCTGGCACTCCAGCAGTGCCTGAGCCCTCGCGCCGCCTCCTCCACCCCTGCTGCCGTGCAGTCCTGAGGATGGGGGCTGGGCTCTGGGGCTGGAGCATTGCCCTTCATCCTCCCCTTCATGGGCCATGTCATCAGGGCTCTTCTCTGCTGAGCTGTGCCGTGTGTTTTAGCCACCGGCCTCTGCCCAGGGCCCTGGGCTGGCAGCTAGGCTGGACGTTCCCTCTGCTGTCCTTGGAGGCTTAGTTCTGTCCTAGCCTTTGAGGCTGTGTTCCCTGGGGGTGTCTCCAGTCCCTGGGGGGCTGTGATGACAGGTGCCCTGTGCCGTTAGGGCTGGGCACTCACCGCCACTGGAGCAGCCGCTGTGTCTGTGTCTCCCGCGTCTCCTCCATTGGCATCTGTGGGCCCTTGAGCATCAGATGGACTTTGTCTCTCCAGGTTGCAGCAGTGATAACCCCACCCCTTGGTGGCAGCAGCAGCGGCGGTTATTTCGGGCTCTCGTTATTTCGGGCTCTCATGGTGGAGCCCTGCCATCCGAATGCGCTTGTGAGAAACGTAACAAACCCAGGAAGGGCCTCTGCACGGGGGTGGAGTGCCTCTCCTCCTCAAGGCCAAAGTTCAGGCCAATGTCAACAGGACAAAGGGAAGAGGCGAGCAGTCCTCTCACCCAGGTTCAGTGCCTGGAGGCGCCATCTTCCTGCTGCAGGACAGGAAGACGCTGCAGTCTCAACCACTTTAAAAGTTAGTTCTTTATTCAGTGTATTTGCCTTTGTGCTAACATTGAGGTTACTATAAATACATGTGGAGGCAAACAGGTAAGATAAAAGACTAATTTTAGCTTTTGGTAAATAATTTTAGCATTAATGGTATCCCTTTTCTTGTCTGGTTGAGAAAACTGTATTGCTGAAGAGGAAGCCACACCACACCTGCCAAGCTGCTGGGTTTTCTGTTCCATGCTTTCCACCGTTCAGTTCTAAATAAGTCCATTTCCAGAAGGAATGAGCCAGTAATCCTAAGAGAGGGGACCAGAAATTACACTTTTGTGTATCAAATGTCTGTATAGGGCCGGGTGTGGTGGCTCAAGCCTGTAATCCCAGCACTTTGGGAGGCCGAGGTGGGTGGGTCATGAGGTCAAGAGATCGAGACCATCCCGGTCAACATGGTGAAACCCCGTCTCTACTAAAAATACAAAAAATTAGCTGGGCATGGTGGCACGTGCCTGTAATCCCAGCTACTCGGGAGGCTGAGGCAGGAGAATTGCCTGAACCCAGGAGGCGGAGGTTGCGGTGAGCTGAGATCGCGCCATTGCACTCCAGCCTGGGTAACAAGAGCAAAACTCCGTCTCAAAAAAAAAAAAAGTCTGTATAAAGAATGATAGAACACTTTGGTTGAATGTTAACTATTTGGTGGCAGCTCTTACTTAGCTGTGTCGTTCCTGTTTCAGGCAATTAACTGGATATCACAGCATGGAGCCTGCGGTGAGGAACATTTTAGGAAAGAAATTCTCAGCCTCATCTAAAAGCCAGAATTCTGCAGGGCAAATCATGTCCCCAAATCTACCGGCCGAAGTCCTAATCCCTAGTGTCTCAGAATGGGGCCAGAGTTAGAGACAGGGCTGAGAAAGGGGGAATTAAGGTAAAAGGAAGTTGTGGGGATGGCCCCAATCCCACAGGACCTGTATCCTTACGAGAAGAGGAGATCAGGACACAGACTCACACAGAGCAAGGACCCTGTGAGGATCTGGGGGAAGGAGGAGCCTCAGGATGTGAGGACCTGAGTGATGTTTGTATCTGCAAGTCGGGGAGGCCTCAGGAGGAAGCAGCCGCCTGCACCTGGATCTGTGGCTGGGTGTGTGTGTGTGTGTGTGTGTGTGTGTGTGTGTGTATGCGGAGGCTGCCATGACAAAGCACCCCAGCTGTTGCTTTTTTCCTAAGTCAAATACATACATTTTATAATAGTGCTAAAGCACCTTCCAGAAATCCAGCGTTTAATGATTTGAGTGTGAGGATACAGTAAAGAGGGTGGAGACAAAAAAAAAAAACCCAAAAAACAAAAAACTGTACTTGACAGCAGCTTTTTTGCTGCAAAACTTACACTATTAATTTAAATTGCTTAAATGCACTTCTCATGCATTAGTTATAAAGCTAGACTAAATTACAATCTTTAATTTTGCTGATGTTTTTATTGCTTGGTGATATATGGAAAATTACATATCTTCAAGAGTTTTAATTCATCTTTTTTCATTTGTCAGCCTCTGGAGACAGGAAGCAAAAGAGCAATAAAATGAGATTCTGCCAGTACGTTATAATGATAAACCCAAAGTTGACCACTAGCTCATTTACAATTTTATAGCAAACTTACAAAACAAGATTAAAAATATTTCATCATTTGGTGATAGACTATATATTAGTTGCTGTTTTGAAGTGTTTATATATATCATAAAGCAGCTGCAAGAATAAACTTTTTAAATAAAGGTTTAGCATAGTTGTAGATTTACCGAAAAGTTGCACAGATTGGAAAACGTGTTCCCACTTCCCACACCCAGATTCTCCTGTTAGCACCCGACGTTAGTGTAGTGCTTACATGATGCACTGATGACCTTATTCGGAGTCAAGTTGGACAGATGTGGAGTCTTAGGGACCCTGACCCCTGGGAGTGAACTCTGAAGAGGGGCAGACTTGAGGGTCTGAGTCCTTACTTAGCCCAGGGGTCGGGGCTAACCCCGGGTAGAAAACGTCAGATTTGGATGAAGTTGTAGGATGCCCAGTTGGTGTTTAGGGAGATGGAGGATGGTTGGTGTGGAAACCTTCCCAGCCCCTCACCTGGTGTCCCACGTCAGGTTTTGAGAGGAACCTGAGAGTCAGTGAAAACCGTTTTCCTCCTCCTGTGACCAAAGGACCAATGTAAGATGCTCTATCACATGAAATGGTTAACTATGTTTCTGTTCATTAATCTAATGTAGAAAGTATATTTTGTGAGATTACGAAAGAAAACCTAAGTAATGACTACAAAAGGCAGAGCCACATTGTACAAGACAGACAAATGAAAGCAAGTTTGTGCCTTAACATCAGGAATCCAGCTGCCCCCCCCCCAAAAAGAAATAGTGATAGAAAATTGTCAGGGATCAATTACAAAATAAATAACAAATATTCATAAACAGGGAACACGGTGTAGCAAGGTATGAAGACGGCTCCTTTGTTTCTTGTCTGACCTTTACTATTTCCTTCCTTCTGCCAGCTGGGGGCTTAGTGTGTTCTGGCTTCCCTGGTTCATGAACTGTAACACTAGGCTGTTTATTTGGTGTCTTTTTTCT